CATTTGGTACAAAAGCAGACATTACTCACGTGATCGTGTTCTTCATGTGCTTTAAGAAGGACTTCCTGTTCCACACATGTAGGATTTTTCCCCCTGTGGTTGCCATGGTGATAGATGGACCCAGAGTTTTTTTAAACATTCTTTCAGGAACAACCTTATGTAGATGTTCATCAAGTGCTGTTGGCGTGTCCTGCAGCTAAATGAGCCAGCCATGTGCTTCCTCAGGTTCCTCCCTAGGTCAGGTGTGTGTGCCCTTTGATCTGGTGAAGAAGCAGCCTGAAGGACAGCAGACGTTTGCACTCATGACCAAAGACAAGGTGACAGGGTCACTAACTACTGAGGTGAGGCTTTAAACCAGAACCGGTCCAGTAGAACGCCTCATGAAGATGATTAACGTGACTGTATTTTGCAGTTTACCTACCTGGACCCTGGTGAGGTGCGGTCCTGGCATCCTCCAACTCCTGCTTCCAGTAAGAGGGTGGAGATGGACCGTACCGTCATGCCCTGTGGGACGGTGGTCACCACCGTCACTGCGGTTAAGAGCAAGCCAGGACGGCCTGTCCCACTCCTCGGCACTGGTGAGACATGTCCCCCAGTGGATCACCATCTGAAGGGTTAACCAGTGAGACGTCATTCAGGAAACAAAAGTAGAGAAGGGTCGGAGAGAGGCGGTGTACGTTTGAATCTCGACAACATGAGCACCTGGAGCCCAGAATACGAGTAACCATAAGGATTCACACTCAGACTAATTGTAAAAGTCACGCTTTGTGAAACTCACACACACTAGAAATAAAGATAAAATACGGGTGGAACCGGGTCTTGACCAGAGTCTTCTGTCTGCGATGGATGTTTGTGGAAACACACCAGCAGGATTTGTGTTTGTCCAGCCACGCTGAAGCAATCAGGATGGGTTCAATGCACTGAGGTAGTGGCTCACATCTGTTAATGCCATTTCTTCTAAATATCCGGTGAAATTCTCCAGAGTTTGGCAGCAACCAAGAAAAAGATCGAAAAAACCCTCGGACCTCTGGATAAGGTTCAAATCTAATTACACTTAAACGTGTGGTTCATCGAAAACCCGTTTGAATGATTATGTGATTCTAATGGGTCACTCCGAGTGTTTCATGCAGGCTGAACATGAAAATAGTCTCCTACACCTGCCTCCTGCAGTAGCTTCTGATAGAAAACAGACGGTGAAACTCTAGGATTAGAAAAGCCTGACGGATCTGCAGTGGGTACAGAATGGTACATGGCCCGTATTTGATATTCTGCGCGTCAGGCTGTGTGTGTGTGTGCGTGTGTGTGCATGTGTGTGCACGCACGTGTGTGTGGGGGGTCTTGTTCTGTGTGAAAACGAAGCAGTACAAGTGATAATGCTTCAGGATTTCATAATTGTATCTTCTCAGCAGCAGCACTGCAGGTGCTCTCCATGTCCAACATGTGTGTAAGCCAGGTCCTTAGTCAACTTAAAGTTGGCCACATTTTTCTGCTAAGTTTTCTTTCATAAATCCCAAAGTTTGCGTGGAAAGTTGCTTACGCAGTTTTCCGACCCCGTTTTGTGCGTAAGCAAGCTTGATGAATGAGGCCCCTGGTTTAAATCAGCAGGTGATTAACAGGCTTCTGCAGAGCCTGATGGGCTGCTGCACAGGTGAGTCAAGTGTGTTGAATCAGAGAAACTATTAAAATGTGCTGGATACTGGACCTCCATGACCGGAATTGCATACCGCTGATCTAGATCCTGAAACATGTACACCAGGGCTTTTTGTACCCAGAGTACAACTTCCTACTAGTCATTCCTACACATGTTAATTAAAAAGTGATCCACACTTTAAAGCCTTATGCAAAAGCATAACCATCATTAGTCATGTAATAAAGCAACTATACAATTCAATAATGTTCATTGTTCACTTCTATTGCCACTGTACAACTTATTAAATCATTCATGTTTCACAGCTTTATGAATATCCATCATGAAACCACATGAATTAGTCTTATCCAGTTAGAACACAACACCACATATAATGTACACACATACAATAAGACACACCTTTAAGTCTAAATTATGCCCTGAAGTAACAAATATCTTACAAATATGGTCTGTTAGCCCTATAGATATTGTAATATGATGTACTGAGGATTTTTACCATTTCTATGGCTGTTTAACTATAATATCATATGCTAACAGCTAACCAGTGCAGGAAACTCAGGATAGGCAAGGAAACTGTCATCAGTCCTCTGCTTAGACACGTATTCCAATTCTCCACGCACAGTTTACCTCAGGTCTTAAACATTAAAATGAATTCAAGTCAGGTTTCGGGACTCGGGTCTGGTTTTGTGACTCAGGTCAGGTTTTGGCACACGAGTCAGGTTTTTGGGACTCGGGTCATGTTTCGGGTCTCGGGTAAAGTTTCGGGACTCTGGTCAAGCTTCGGGACTGAAGTCAGGTTTTGGGTCACGTTTCGGCACTCGAGTCAGGTTTCAGGACTTGGGTCAGGTTTCGGGACTGAAGTCAGGTTTCGGGTCACGTATAGGCAGTCGAGTCAGGTTTCGGTACTCTAGTCAGGTTTCGGGACTCAAGTCGGGTTTCGGGACTTGGGTCAGGTTTCGGGACTGAAGTCAGGTTTCGGGTCACGTATAGGCAGTCGAGTCAGGTTTCGGGACTCTGGTCAAGCTTCGGGAATGAAGTCAGGTTTTGGCTCACGTTTCAGCACTCGAGTCAGGTTTCAGGACTCGGGTCAGGTTGCGGGACTCGGGTCAGGTTTCTGGACTGAAGTCAGGTTTCGGGCCACGTATCGGCACTCGAGTCAGGTTTCGGGACTCGAGTCCACTGATGAAACCACCGGACAACCTCATTGATTCTAAAAGTAAACCCAGCCAGAGCTCTTGTTTTTCCTCTAGTGTTTCATTAAAGGTCTTTGATGGAAACCAGATGCTTCAGGTAAATCCTGTCAGATTCCTGACGTTTACCGTGCTGGATTGTCCTTGGATTTAAAATAGCTGGCAGCAGTCCTGCATACTTGATTCCTGTGTCCTTAACGTGTTTTCATGGGAGGGGTTTACATATTTTATTTTAGCTGTGTCGAGGACGAATTTCTGTTTTATTCTAAAACAGACAATAAAGTTATCTGTCTATCCATCTCTCTCTGTTATCTCTCATCTATCCTATCTGAAACAGTTTAGATGAGGCTTTTCTTTTCTGTGACTTGTTTCTGAAACACAATCCTGCACTTTGGGTCTTCTCAGATCCAGGCCTGAAGCAGGTGGACAGCAAGCCCAAGCTGACAGAGCGGCGCGTTTCGGAGCAGGCGTCCATGTCGGGGGTCACTGTGAGCAAAGCTCTGTCCTCCTCTGACACCGAGCTGCTTGTGCTCAACGGGACGGACCCGGTGGCTGAAGCAGCGATCCGACAGCTCCACCAGTCTGCCAAGCAGAAGCTCAAATCTCCTGTGAAGAAAAGCACCATCATCATCTCAGGCATCGCCAAGGTGAGGATGAACACAGGTTCATTGCTTGGAAACTGGTTTTACTCCTTGTGGAATCCAGACATCTTAGGTATTTCTGACATCACACAGACAGGAAGCATAATTCTTCCCTTGCTTCCCCAGACACCCTTGTCTCAGGACGATGAGCTGGCTCTGATGGCTGGCTATGCTGCAGCGATGGATGCCTCCATGTCAGAGAGCAGCTCTACTCAAGATGTAACCATGGCCGTTGCATCAGGGATCAGTAGTCCTGAGGCGTCTGAGCCCCAGGAGGGCCCCACTGGGATAGGCCGGCCCCCAGAGGACTGGGAGAGCCAAACGGGGGAGGAGCTAGATCACACTTCACTCTCCATGTGTGTGTCTGAGGCCAGCTGCAAAAAGAGCCGAGGTCAGATGTTAAAACCATTTCTAAACCGCTGTAGCTTGTTGCTCCTCTGTCTGCTAGTGAGGAGGAAGTGAACCTGATTGGTTAGCTAGTCAAGAACTCAGCGGGTTATCTGTTAACCAGCTAATTGTCCTAAAACAACTAGTTGGTTCAAGAACCTGCTTTATGTTTCATCTACAAAGTGTGCAGAACAGATGCGGTCTGGTTTTCATATGGCTTCCGAACGGACTGTCTGCGCTGAAAGTCGGTCGGTCGGTCGGTCGGTGCTTTATTTATGTAGCACCTACCTCACCCAATACGGGAGGCCAAGGAGCTGAAGAACAAAATACAGTCATGATAAAAGAAATTAAAACATTGAACTTGAAACAACAAAATTAAACGCAAAACTACATAAAAGTAAGCCAACTTCAAGCATGTTCAGGAAATGCTGAATAAAAAAGGTGGGTTCTCAGGCGACTCTTAAAGACCGGCAAAGAAGTAGAGTGCCTAACTGACTGTTGGAGCTGGTGCCAGAGTGACGGCTCTAGAAGTGAAAAAGCCCGGTCTCCACGAGTCCGACACCTAGTATGAGGGACAACTAGTAGGCCCTGATCAGAGGAGCGTAGAGATCGTGATGGTTTTGTTTCAGGAGCACCGTTAAGTCAAGAGGGGCACCTCCATGAACGAAATTAAAAACCAACACCAGAAGTTGACAACGCGCCCATAGAAGACTGGAAGCCAGTGTAGGGAGGCCAGCACTGGACTAATGTGGTCCCCTTTCCTGGCACCAGTGAGGAACCTGGCGGCACTATTCTGCACCATCTGAAGATGAAGAACTGATGAATGACCAAGCCCAGTATATAGAGAGTTACAATAATCTAACCTGGAGATTACTAATGCATGGAGTACCTGCTCCAGGTGTACTCTCGACAGCATATGCTAGATTTTGGTCAGGCGTCGCATGTTGAAAAAAACAAGATCGGATTACGGAGTTGACGTGGGCATCCAAGTTAAGACCAGAGTCTATTCTCACCCCCAAGCTGGTGACAACTTGCTTCAAAATGGGAGAGAGAGCCCAGATCAGCTTCAGAATCCCCCGCAGCCCGCCGGTTGTTCTGATGAAAAAATGATGATCTTCGAATGTCTGCTTCCAC